TCTCTTTCTCTCTTTCTCTTTCTTTCTTTCTTTCTTTCTTTCTTTCTTTCTTTCTTTCTTTCTTTCTTTCTTTCTTTCTTTCTTTCTTTCTTTCTTTCTTTCTTTCTTTCTTTCTTTCTTTCTGGAGTGCAGTAGCTCTTTCTTTCTTTCTTTCTTTCTTTCTTTCTTTCTTTCTTTCTTTCTCATCAGCCTCCTATCTTTCTTTCTTTCTTTCTTTCTTTCTTTCTTTCTTTCTTTCTTTCTATTTTTAGTAGAGTCTTTCTTTCTTTCTTTCTTTCTTTCTTTCTTTCTTTCTTTCTTTCTAGGTGATCCTCCCTCTTTCTTTCTTTCTTTCTTTCTTTCTTTCTTTCTTTCTTTCTTTCTCCGGCCCTAGCATTCTTTCTTTCTTTCTTTCTTTCTTTCTTTCTTTCTTTCTTTCTTTCTCTCTACCCTCCACTCTTTCTTTCTTTCTTTCTTTCTTTCTTTCTTTCTTTCTTTCTTTCTTGCAGGAGTCAAGTCTTTCTTTCTTTCTTTCTTTCTTTCTTTCTTTCTTTCTTTCTTTCTCTCTTCAAATTTCTCTTTCTTTCTTTCTTTCTTTCTTTCTTTCTTTCTTTCTTTCTTTCTTAAGGTAATTTAATCTTTCTTTCTTTCTTTCTTTCTTTCTTTCTTTCTTTCTTTCTTTCTGTTCTCCTAATTCTCTTTCTTTCTTTCTTTCTTTCTTTCTTTCTTTCTTTCTTTCTTTCTTAAAGAAGTGGGTTCTTTCTTTCTTTCTTTCTTTCTTTCTTTCTTTCTTTCTTTCTTTCTACTTTGAGGCATTTCTTTCTTTCTTTCTTTCTTTCTTTCTTTCTTTCTTTCTTTCTTTCTACAGTGCTTCCCTTCTTTCTTTCTTTCTTTCTTTCTTTCTTTCTTTCTTTCTTTCTTTCTCTAAACCCCGGCTTCTTTCTTTCTTTCTTTCTTTCTTTCTTTCTTTCTTTCTTTCTTTCTAATTCATAAACTTTCTTTCTTTCTTTCTTTCTTTCTTTCTTTCTTTCTTTCTTTCTTTCTAGATAATCAGCTATCTTTCTTTCTTTCTTTCTTTCTTTCTTTCTTTCTTTCTTTCTTTCTCTTCCAATGTGCCTCTTTCTTTCTTTCTTTCTTTCTTTCTTTCTTTCTTTCTTTCTTTCTCCCTTAGAATAGTTCTTTCTTTCTTTCTTTCTTTCTTTCTTTCTTTCTTTCTTTCTTTCTTGATTGGTTGTGTTCTTTCTTTCTTTCTTTCTTTCTTTCTTTCTTTCTTTCTTTCTTTCTTTGATGCTCCCCATCTTTCTTTCTTTCTTTCTTTCTTTCTTTCTTTCTTTCTTTCTTTCTTGGAATGATCTGATCTTTCTTTCTTTCTTTCTTTCTTTCTTTCTTTCTTTCTTTCTTTCTAGGCATTATACTATCTTTCTTTCTTTCTTTCTTTCTTTCTTTCTTTCTTTCTTTCTTTCTGTATCTCTCTGGGTCTTTCTTTCTTTCTTTCTTTCTTTCTTTCTTTCTTTCTTTCTTTCTGATAAAGGCTTTTTCTTTCTTTCTTTCTTTCTTTCTTTCTTTCTTTCTTTCTTTCTTTCTACAGGCACCGTGGTCTTTCTTTCTTTCTTTCTTTCTTTCTTTCTTTCTTTCTTTCTTTCTACTTGAGGTCAGGTCTTTCTTTCTTTCTTTCTTTCTTTCTTTCTTTCTTTCTTTCTTTCTAAATACACAAATTTCTTTCTTTCTTTCTTTCTTTCTTTCTTTCTTTCTTTCTTTCTTTCTTGGGGCAGAAGAATCTTTCTTTCTTTCTTTCTTTCTTTCTTTCTTTCTTTCTTTCTTTCTACTGTGCTCCAGCTCTTTCTTTCTTTCTTTCTTTCTTTCTTTCTTTCTTTCTTTCTTTCTAAAGGCAGTAGTATCTTTCTTTCTTTCTTTCTTTCTTTCTTTCTTTCTTTCTTTCTTTCTGTCACTTCCCAAATCTTTCTTTCTTTCTTTCTTTCTTTCTTTCTTTCTTTCTTTCTTTCTCCAGGCTCACATCTCTTTCTTTCTTTCTTTCTTTCTTTCTTTCTTTCTTTCTTTCTTTCTAACACCAAGGCATTCTTTCTTTCTTTCTTTCTTTCTTTCTTTCTTTCTTTCTTTCTTTCTGCTAATAAAATCATCTTTCTTTCTTTCTTTCTTTCTTTCTTTCTTTCTTTCTTTCTTTCTCTGCTCTGTTCACTCTTTCTTTCTTTCTTTCTTTCTTTCTTTCTTTCTTTCTTTCTTTCTTTTCATCCTTTACTCTTTCTTTCTTTCTTTCTTTCTTTCTTTCTTTCTTTCTTTCTTTCTAGCATCCCTCTCCTCTTTCTTTCTTTCTTTCTTTCTTTCTTTCTTTCTTTCTTTCTTTCTACTGGAGTTAAGGTCTTTCTTTCTTTCTTTCTTTCTTTCTTTCTTTCTTTCTTTCTTTCTAGGCATGGAGTCTTCTTTCTTTCTTTCTTTCTTTCTTTCTTTCTTTCTTTCTTTCTTTCTATTAAGTTTTCCGTCTTTCTTTCTTTCTTTCTTTCTTTCTTTCTTTCTTTCTTTCTTTCTGTTTTTAATTAGGTCTTTCTTTCTTTCTTTCTTTCTTTCTTTCTTTCTTTCTTTCTTTCTCTGACGTTAGAATTCTTTCTTTCTTTCTTTCTTTCTTTCTTTCTTTCTTTCTTTCTTTCTATCATTACTATTATCTTTCTTTCTTTCTTTCTTTCTTTCTTTCTTTCTTTCTTTCTTTCTAGAGTCAATTTCATCTTTCTTTCTTTCTTTCTTTCTTTCTTTCTTTCTTTCTTTCTTTCTGATGCTTCTCAGGTCTTTCTTTCTTTCTTTCTTTCTTTCTTTCTTTCTTTCTTTCTTTCTCATTTTCTTACGTTCTTTCTTTCTTTCTTTCTTTCTTTCTTTCTTTCTTTCTTTCTTTCTAATCTCCTGGTGCTCTTTCTTTCTTTCTTTCTTTCTTTCTTTCTTTCTTTCTTTCTTTCTGCAACTGCTGTAGTCTTTCTTTCTTTCTTTCTTTCTTTCTTTCTTTCTTTCTTTCTTTCTTTCTTCTTGCCTTTCTTTCTTTCTTTCTTTCTTTCTTTCTTTCTTTCTTTCTTTCTTTCTTCTTTCTCTAGTGTCTTTCTTTCTTTCTTTCTTTCTTTCTTTCTTTCTTTCTTTCTTTCTAGCTTTGCTGAAGTCTTTCTTTCTTTCTTTCTTTCTTTCTTTCTTTCTTTCTTTCTTTCTCTGTTGCTCAGGCTCTTTCTTTCTTTCTTTCTTTCTTTCTTTCTTTCTTTCTTTCTTTCTTTAGTGTGAATGTTCTTTCTTTCTTTCTTTCTTTCTTTCTTTCTTTCTTTCTTTCTTTCTTCTAATGATTGGATCTTTCTTTCTTTCTTTCTTTCTTTCTTTCTTTCTTTCTTTCTTTCTAATGGAAGGTCTTTCTTTCTTTCTTTCTTTCTTTCTTTCTTTCTTTCTTTCTTTCTTTCTTACAGCTCCCAGTTCTTTCTTTCTTTCTTTCTTTCTTTCTTTCTT